CTCATTTTAGGAACTCAACATTGTGCTAATCCTAAAACTGGATAAAGATAATAGAAGAAAAAAGTATGAACATAGATAGAAATTTTTTTAACAAAGCAAACTATTAGAAGTCAGATCTGGCAGTATGTACAAGGTGGTTTAGTGATCTTAAAAATTATATTTTCATTCAGCATCCTTCATGATAAAAACTCAACTAATTGAGTACAGAAGGAACATACCTCAATACATACATACATACAAACAAGTCTACATAACAAATCCATAACCAAGATCATACTGAATGGAAAAAAACAAAGTGTTTCCTCTAAACTCTGGAACAAGACAAGGATATCCAGAAACACTTATTCAACACGGTACTGGAAGTCAGCAACAGCAATTAGACAAGAGAAGAAAAAAAGGGGGAATTCAAAATGGAAAGGAGGAAGCCAAATTATCCCTGAACAAAAAATATTTTATATATAGAAAAATAAAGTATTTTACATATAGAAATACCTATACACACCATCAAAAACTGTTAAAACTGATAAATTCAGTAAAGCTACCAGATAAAAAAATCAACATTCAAAAAATAGCATTTTTATATATCAATAACCTTGCTGAAAAAGAAATTAAGAAAGCAATCCCATTCACAATAGTTTAAAAAGAGCAAGAGCTCTACAGTGAAAATTATAAAGCACTGATCCAAGAAACTGAAGAGAACACACAAAAAATGAGAAAACATCCCATGTTTATGGATTGTTAAAATATCCATACCACTCAAAGTGATATACAGTCAAGGCAATCCCCATCAAAATACCAAGTAACATTCTTCTTGGGGCTGGGGATTTAGCTCAGTGGTTCTGGCACCTGCCTCACAAGTGCAAAGTTCTCAGTTCGATCCCCGGTACCAAAAAAAATCAAAATAAAACAAATAACATTGTTCTAAATACAGAAAAAAATCTTTACATTCACTTGGAACAAAAGTCCCTGAAAAAAAAAAAAAAGTCTTTGAATAGTCAAAGTAATCCTGCACAAAAAGGACAAAACTATAGATACATCTGACTTCAAAACATACTACACAAAGCTATAGTAATCAAAACAACATGGTACCAGCACAAAAACTAACACACAGAAACACAACATGGAACTCAGAAGTTAACAACATACATACAGCCAGCTAATTTTCAACAAAAGTTGTGTGAACATACATGGCAGAGAGGACAGTCTCTTCACTAAATTTTTCAGGAAAAACTGGATGTGATTATATCAAACTAAGATACTCTGTACAGTAAAGAAAACAACAGAGTGAAAAGACAACCTGCAGAATGTAATAAAATATTTATGAACTATTATCCAAGAGAGGATTAATATCTGAAATATGTAAGAAACTAAACAACCTAATAGCATCAAAACAATCTGATTTTTAAAATGACCCAAAGATCTGAATAGACATTTCACAAAAGATGAACAAAATGGCCAGTAAGTATATAAAAATGCTTAATATCACCAATCATCAGGAAAACACAAATCACAATTACAGAGATATCATCTTACCCAAGTCAGAATGGCTAGTATCAAAAAAGAAAAAAGGAAAAAAGAAAATTCTAGTGAATATGTAGAGAAAGTGGTATTCTTATACATTGCTGATGGGAATGTAAATTAGTACAGTTACTATGGAAAACAGTACAGAGGTTCCTCAGAAAACAAAACAAAAATAGTACTGCCATATAGTTCCAGCAACCCCACAAATGGCTATATATCCTAAGGAAATAAAATCCATATATCAAAGAAATACCTGCACTCCCAGGTTTATTGAAGCATTATTCACAGTAGTGAATATCTATATATTTGAATTGATTAAGTGTTCCTCAATGGATGAATGTATAAAGAATATGACGTATATATAAAAGGTGAAATATAATCCAGCCATAAAAAAGAAAGAAATCCTGTCATTTGTAGCGACATGGATGGAAATGATGGACATCATGTTAAATGAATCAAGCCAAGCACATAATATCATCACATGCTCTCATGCATATGTGAAAGCTAAAAAGTCAATCTCACAGAAGAGGGTAAATAGTCACTTGGGACTAGACAGTGTAGGAGGGAAGAGGGGTTAGATAAAATACATTTAGATAGAAGGAATTTATTCTAGTGTTCTATAGCACAGTAGCATAGCTACAGCCTACCTACAGCAATTTATGATTATTTCAACATAACAAGTTTGAAGGTTCCCAATATATGGAAGTGATACATATCTGAGGAGATGGAAGTGCTAATTGTCCTGATTTGGTCATTATACATTATACACATGTACTAAATTAGCATACTCTACACTTCATAAGTATGCATAAATATTATGTTGATTAAATTTTAAAAAATTATCCTTTTTAAATTTCCCAATACACTATGAGTTATCAAAATTATCTTTACAAGAAATTTAATTGTAAATTAAATCCAGGGATAGTTTCTCCTTGCATTTTACAAACAAAATCAATTTTACTCTGGTTTACAACTCCTACATAATCTGGCCTCTGCCTATTCCTCTGAACTCATATCCCACTTTCCTGTTCTTACTGTTTAAAATGCAATCCCACTGGTCTTTCTGTTCCTAAAATATAAGAAAAAAAATTTTTTGGGGGGTGCCAGGAATCAAACTCAGGACCTTGCACTTTCGAGGCAGGCGCCAGAACCACTGAGCTAAATCCTCAGCCCTAAAATATAAGAAATTTTGGCCTTAGAACTTTTGCATTTGCTATTTCCAACTGCCAAGAATATTCTCCTTGATCTTACAAATGCTACCCTCTTCTTCCTACTGAGGCTCAGCTTAATGCCAGCTCCAAGAGGCCAACCCAACCATTCAAAAGTAGCCTGCCAGTCACCTATTAGAAAGGCATCCCCGTTTAATTTCCTACAAAGTACACATCACAAGATATTTTTTTTGGTACTGGGGATCGAAACTGGGACACCTTGTGCTTCTGAGGAAGGCACCGGAACCACTGAACTAAATAACCGGCCCCACAACATGGTATTTTCTGTTCATCTGTTCATTATCTATCTTCATAAGAATGTAAGCTCCATGATAGCAGTCAACCCACCTTCATAGACTACTATATGCCCAAGACTTAAGAATATCTAGCATAGGGCCGGGGATTTAGCTCAATGGTTCCACTGCCTGCCTTGCAAGCACAAGGACCCAAGTTCAATCCCTGGTTCAAAAAAAAAAGAATATCTAGCATACAGCAGATACTTAAAATTCTTTTTTTTTTTTGGTACCGGGGATCAAACTCAGGTCCTTGCGCTTGTGAGGCAGGCAGCAGAGCCACTGAACTAAATCTCCAGCCCGAGATACTTAAAATTGATATACCTTTAAGATCATTATAGAAAATTCTGATTTTATCAAAGAATAGGGAAAAAAATGTTATCTTTTCAGTAAGTATACCTACTGAATAAATCAACTTATCTACATTAATAGAAAACCAACAAATTCAAAATTATTTTTAGATATTATCAGAGAATTGTGAAAATAACCAATAAAAAAATTATATTCATACCAAAACTGAGTTACATTTTCCAGTCACTGGTTAAAAAGTAAATATAGGGGCCGGGGATTTAGCTCAGTGGTTTCGCCGCCTGCTGCGCAAGTGCAAGGACCCGAGTTCGATCCCCGGTACAAAAAGAAAAAAAAAAGTAAATACAAAAAAACTAATATTTTAATGTTATTGCAAATTTTACCAGTATGGGGGGGGAGCCAGAATAATTATGCATCAACAGGTGAATGGCTAAACAAATTGTGGTATATCCACACAACGAATACTACTAAGCAATAAAAAAGTGAACTTTTTTTTTTAATGAACTCTTGATATAAGTCTGAAATAATTGTGCTAAAAGAAGCCAGCCTTCCTCAAAAAAGTACTGTACATGCTATATGATTCCATTTCTATAAATAGTGACAGAAAACAGCAATGGTTACTTGAGGTGGGGCTACCAGGAATGAGAGATTACAAAGGGAAACTTTTCAGAATGATAAACGTTCATGACACCAACTATGGCAACAGTTCGGTGTACACATATGTCAAAACTTATAAAACTGTTTAGTGTAGTTTAGGGGATGAGGTTGTAGTTCAATGGTAGAGTGCCTGCATAGCATTCATGAGGCCCTGGGTTTTATCTTCCACGCTGCAAAAGTAAATAAACAAATATATGTTGAATTTGCTCAATGTCAATTATTACTTAAAAACTTTTTGAAAAGGCTAATTAATAATTGACATTGAGGGCCAGGGATTTAGCTCAGTGGCACCGTGCCTGCCTCACAAGCGCAAGGTTCTGAGTTTGATCCCCGGTATCAAAAAAAAAAAAAAATTGACATTGAGTAAATCAGATATATTTTATTTTCTTTTGGGTGCTAGAGATTGAACCAAGAGCTTTGCACATGTTAGGTAAGTACTCTACCACACAGCTACATCCTAGCCACTTTTATTTTTTTATTCTGAGATAGGGTTTCACTAAGCTTCCCTCACTGGCCTCAAATTTGAGATCCTCCTGCCTCAGCACTCTGAGTGACTAAAATTACAAGCATGTGCCACTATGCCTGGCTTACCTAAACTATTTCTTTTTTAATTTTAATAAAATTTAAAATAAATAGACAAAAATAAAATTTTAAGTGTTACAAACCTTATCAGTATTACAAGCTCATTCCTAATGGCTAAGTTGTCTTTTTGTATTTTTAGCTGTACTGATGAAACCCAGGGTCTCAAGCATGCTAGGCAGGTGCTCTACCACTCTCTGAGCTGCATCCCTAGTCCTCCAATAGGTGAGATTTTAACTTTTAACTTCAACAACAAAAAATGTAAATAGTTCAAGTTTACAAAATTAAATTTCTACAACAAAAAAACTAAAAATTGTTAAATTTTCACAATTACCTGTAGAAGATGGTGATTTCTCTGAGTGCTTTGCATTTAAAAGTTTTCTGCTAATAAATATGTAACCACAGGGACATGATTTACATGCAACAGGGACCTGTAGAAAAAATATATATATATTATTACTCTTTTCCTATTGGTAAATTTCTCAGTGTTTAGTCTCAAGTGAATTCTAAATTACATGAAATGGAAATCAATGATTTAATTAAGCCCAACAGCCTTACTACAAATTATATGCAAAGGGTATCATGTCATACATACCATACTACAGCAGTACCATAAACAGTAAATTCATTATAAATGTGCAAATGTAAGTGACCAACAGAAAACCTTAATGGGTCTGTCCCAAGGGATATAGGTAAGAAAAAAAGGCAGCACTTCTGCGGGGCGTGGGGGCCCACACCTACAATCCTGACATTAAGGAGGCAAAGGCAGGAGGATTATTGCAAATTCAAGGGCAGCCTGAACTACATAGTGAGACCCTCTTTGTTTGTTGTGGGGGGAAGGTGTAGCATTTCCCAAAATGTTACTTTGAGATATAGACCAAATTGACTAAGGGGAGTTAATCATAAGATCATCAAGGCCCAACTGCAAGAGTGAAATAATGAGTGGAAATACAGGAAAGGTAAATCTGTCACATGTTTTTCAAAGACAGGAAAAACAGGATTCAGGCCAAAACTAAGTAGAGGTGATAAAATGGGATGATGAACCAAATATAATTCAGGGTTCCAACATGAGAGGGGAAGATGCCAATTACCCCTGAAAAAAAGAACAGTTTTCAACAACCTGTTTGAAGGTCACAAGTATAGTATAAACAAAAAAGAATGTAAAGGCTGAGATACAGGAACTTATTTATAGTCTCAATTCCAGAAAAGACCTTGGACAAAACATTTAAATCCTTCAGGCTTCTGTTTCCAAACCTGCATATTTTTAAAGACAAAAGTTATCAAAAATCATTGAAAATTTTTAATTTGTCTCCATAATTTTTTCACCTATTATTAATGATCCTTGAAATCAAGACATTTCACCAAAATAAGATTAACTTTAATAATAAAAATAATCTCAGAATACTATAATTCTTTTTGTAAGATAAATTCCACTTGCCAGTTCTGCTTAAGTTATAATTATAAAGCTTGTTGTCCATGTATGAACAAAATGCTTCAATTCTAGAATATATTCCATCTAATTAAGCTAAATTGAAATTTTGGCAGAAGAGATCTTTTTCTTCATGTAAAAACACTGAAAAAGGAGCTCCAATTTGCATTTAAGAGACATTAACAATGAGTCCTATAAAAAGGTACATCTAACCACTTGACTTATTAAGAGTGTGATGAGAACCCTTCAAACCATGATGTAAATGAATTCTCCATAATATGGTTATTTTAGTTTTAAAAAAGTAATTTTAGTAGTGTAAAAGCTGCCCAAAATAGATGCTTATCATTTAAAAAATTTCCTATTTTCATAGAAACATAGCTCAAAGATATTGATTTATTTCCTTTATATTTAAACATACCATAAAGGCACCCACAGTAAACTATGTTAAACTAATGCTATCCAAAAAACACAGAAGCATGATGTTCTTATTCAACAGCTTTGCTAATCAGCAAACATCTTCTTGTAGCTGCTAGAACCCAATAAATTGACCTATAGCCACAATATCACCAATTCCACTGATAGGCTGATTTTCATCCCTTAATACGTTCTCCTCAGGAAAACTGTGCCTGAGCTAGTTCACTCTAATGTCCTGTTATTTTTCGGTTATTTTGAAACAAAGTTTCATTCTATAATTCAGGCTGGCTTTGAACTTACTACATAGCCCAGGCTAGCCTCAAACCTGTGACAATCTCGCTGTCTCAGCCTCCCAACTGCTGGGATTACAGGTGTATACCACCACACCTGGCTCTAAAAGCCTATTTATAAATGAAAAGTTCCACCCAACCTCTGCCCCAGAAAGGAGGAAAAATTATAAAAAATAAAAAACCACAACTCAGATCCTATAAAAAGTAAAGTAGTACAAAACAGACTGGACAACTTCAGTAACAATAATCTCATTAAATTAATTATAAAGTATAATTTAGATTTTTTACAAACACTAAACTTTCCTTAAATTTCAATTGCTAGGAGCCAGTCAAGGTGGTACACACCTGTAGTCCTAGCATCCTAGGAGGAAGGAGGATCACAAGTTCCAGCCCAACCTGGGTCAACTAAGCAATTTAGTAAGAACTTGTCTCAAAAACTGAAAGAGGCTGGGGGTGCAGCTTGGTGCAAAGCCCCTAGGTTCAATCCTCAGCACCAAAAAATAAATTAAGTAAAATAAATAGTAAACAATAGGATAGTAAACAGTAAGGATAGTAAACAATAAAATTCTGTATTTTTAGAATTTTAAAACAGAAAAAAATTCAAAGTATTGTTTATTTCCTGATAAGCATACTTAAATTGTTTGCATGTTTTAAAAGGTTTTAAGATGTTGCAAAAGAAATGCTCCTTGTCCTATAATGCTTCACTATATCATTTAAAGTGCTGTTAAATAACCATATTAGAGAGAACTCATTTACTGTAGTCCCACCTTATCCAATTTTATTTTCCAAGGTTTCAGTTATTCAAAAGGTGAAAGATGTACACAGTACAATAAGACATTCTGAGAGGGTACCGAGAGAAACCACATTCATAATATAATTACTGTATCTTATTGTTGGTTATTGATCTCTTATATGCCTAACTTATAAACTAAACCTTATCATAAATATGCATGTATAGGAAAAACAGGGTTTAATACTATCTGAGGTTTCGGGCATCCCCTGGGGGTCTTGGGATCCCTCCACAAACAAGGGGAAACTACTATATGTTCTTTACTAGAGCCAAAGCCATCTACAGCAGACACACTTGTAGTATGCTCAAAACAATTTCGTATCAATGAAAAAAAGTTGCTCAAATGAAGGCAAAAACAAATATACATGAAAGGTATAGAAAAGTGATAAGAGGACCCGGGATTTAGCTCAGTGGTTCCGCAGCCTACTGGCAAGCGCAAAGTCCTGCGTTTGATCCTGGTACCAAAAAAAAAAAAATCTGCCATTTGGGCCAGGGATTTAGCTCAGTAATTATGCCTCCTGTCTCAAAAGCGCAAGGACCTGAGTTCGATCCTCATACCAAAAAAAAAAAAAAGAAAAGAAAAGAAAAGAAATAAGAATCATGCATAGTGGGGCCGAGGATTTAGCTCAGTGGTTCCGCGGCCTGCCTCGCAAGCGGAAGGACTAGAGTTCGATCCCCAGTATCAAAAAAAAAAAAGAATCATGCATAGTAATACACACGAAATGTAAATTTTGAGTGCTCAGTGGATGTGAGATCTCTTGAGAATGAGGCTTGTTTCAAAACTATACTGTATTTTTTTTTTTTTGGTACCGGGGATTGAACTCAGGTCCTTGCACTTGCAAGGCAGGCGGCGGAACCACTGAGCTAAATCAGCTCTGTTTTTTTTTTTTTTTTTTGGTACTAGGGATCGAACTTGGGACCTTGAGCTTGCGAAGCGGAACCACTAAGCTAAATATCCAGCTAAAGTAGCAGCTCATTCTTAACCGTTTCTCTGTACCTTTGTTTTAAACTTACACACAGAGGATATACAACTGTGGAAATCACCTCAAACTTTTAAACATTTTGCATTTATGTTAATAAACTCTACCTAAAATCTAACTTAGGATCATAGCAATATTCTAATATGTTGTTTAAAAAATGGCTTTCATAATTATAATTTTTTCTAGTTTGTAACTAAAAGTAGCTAAAAAATTAAAAAGCTAAAATTTACTATGACTTTTTGATCTTAGATTTAATTTTTAATTTTTATTAGTACATATTTGCTGTACATAATGATTATACTCACTGTGGGGAACTGGTATATGTACATAACACACACATCTCAAGGGTTTTTGGGGGTTTTTTTGAGGGGGGGGGTCAGGATTTCGATTCTGTAGTTCAAGCTGGCCTATGTAGCCCAGGCTGGCCTCAAATTTGGGGCACTCCTCCTTCCTCGGCCTCCTCAGCGCTGGGATTACAGGTATGTGCCACCACACCTGGCTAACCTATGACTTTCTTCAAATACTTTTATGGATAGAAAAATCACTTAATAATCAAAAGCTCCCATTTGCCTTTTTATACATTAAATAAAGGACACAACAAACCAACACATTAAATTATGTACTACATTGCTACTGACTGAATTGCATCCCACAAAAAAATTCATCTGCTGAACCCATAACCCCTCTCCACTCTGGGATAATTATTTGAAGATGAGTCCCTTTTTAAGGAGTTACTAGGTTTACATGAGGTCATAAAGTGGGATCCTCATAATGGGACTAGCAATCTTATAAGAGACAAGAGAGAGCTTGCCCCCTTTTTGCCACATGAGGAAACTCAGAAAACAGTCAGCCATCTGCAAGCCAGGCGATCTCTCATCATGAACTTGGACTTCCAGCCTCCGAACCTGTGAGAAAATAAATTTCTATTGATTCAGCCCCCCAGTTGATAGTATTTTGTTATGGTAGTCTGAGCAAACGAAGATACAGCCGATTTTATACAAAAGAATATATATGTATACGTACAAGTGTTTTCATAGCAAAACTGACGTAATCTTTCCAAATAAATACCGTCATGTTTTGTTTAAAAGTTTTACGGGTTCCTACAAGTTTTTGTTTTCTTTAAACAGAATATTAAAAACAGATTTTTCCTGAAAGATCTCTTTATGCCAAGTAAAATAAGGACAGGATTTGCAATTACTTGTGCCCTACAGAAACTCGAAAGCATACCCTGCAAACTTTGCACTTCTGAACAATTAGTTGGAATAAGCAGAAATGTTTTAAACAAAATTATCTGCCAAAAGCTATATAACAAAGTCCAATTTTGTAAGAATTTTACAAATTTAGTTTAATGGTAAGAATGGAAGCAACTCTGGAAAACATGACTAAACTGTTTTCATACTACATACTGGTAAAGCTCAATAAAATTGAACAACCATTCTCTAATCAGCATTTTTACCACTGCTGGTAAATAATACTGAAACATGTAACATGTTTTATTACAAGATTTGATCAACCTCAAGACTGCATATTTTTTAAAAAGTCAGTGTCTCCAGGCAGTTCAAATTATTCTTGATCAAGGAAAACAAAAACGGAAAGGGGGAGAGAGGTAGTCATTTTGAAAAACTCCACTCAGTGGAAAACGAAAAAACACACCCAAATCTGGATGAAATGAGTCTTACGAAAGGTTTTAATTGAGGTAATTTTAGCTAATTATTAGACTGTAAGGCTGAAAAGAATGTTTATTCTAGTAGAGAACGAAGCATGCTTAAAAGTAGGAAACATGAGATTTTATTTAAATGACAGGTATGATAGGAATAATTTCATATTCAGGAAACCATAAATACATATACATATATATATACACACACGTGTGTGTGTATTTTTAAGACGTGGATGCAGACACGCCGGATTTATAACAGAAAACCCTGGCAAGTGGGATGAGGAGCCCCCGGAAGGGTTTCAAAGTGGACGTTATTCAAACACGTTCCATCAAAAACAATGTAAAGAAAGCGTGCGCTGTTACACAGCATCGAAATTATCAAAAACAGATTTAAAGGAGGAAAAACCCCTCCAAATTCGGCACAAGTTATTATCACTATGCGCGGCCCCTTTTGTCCCGTCCGGCGTCACCCCGCACCTCCGTCCCGGACAAAGCCGCCGAGGCAGGTGGGCTCCGGAGCCACGGCCTGGGCTGATCCGCACGTGGGCGCTAGCTGCCCGGGCGACTGGGCGAGTAGGCGCTCGGCGAGGGTCCGGCCCCGGCCCGGGCCCCGCGCGGCCCAGTCAGCCCCGCCGACCCCGCCCGGCCCGCCGCGCCCACCTGTTGGTCGCACTCAGGGCAGGACTTGGTGGCCATCTTCACTTTCTTGGCTCGAGTTGCGGACATACTCCCGTCCTAGGGCAACGCGGCCCGGGCTCCTCCCCGCGCACCTCAGCGCCGAGCCTCCGCCCGCCTTGGCCAGTCCTCGTCCCAGTCCCGCTCCCTCCCTAGGCCTGATCGACGATCGCCGTTGCGCGGGCGCGTGCGCGATACCGCGGGCCTGCGTGCCGGGGGGCGGGGCGGCAAGGGCCGGCTGCTCGGAACGCGCCCCGCAACTAGTGCCGTAGAGCGCTTCCGCGCCTCACGTGAGGAGCGGCCAGGCAACGGCCACGCCCTCCCCCAGGCGGACTGTGGCGGGTAGCACGGACTGGGCGGGACCCTGGAGTGACGGACGTGAACCCTGACCAATGAATGAGCAGGTAGGGCGGGACGTGAGTCCGGGTACGTCCCCTGCCGTAATGTAGGGGGAAGGAAAAACTAGAGGCTGGAAGGGGCGGAGACGGGAAAGAGCTTCGCGCTGGTCCTGTCATTTAATACACTTCGGTAAATGTCAGCGAGGAATTATAATGAACATTTAATAAGCCTGCGATTTGCCAAGCCCTGGACTAGCTGGAGCAGGCTATAAAACATTGTGAAGGCCAATTAGGCCTAACAATGTGAATACTGAGGTGCTTGTCCTCAAAGAACATACAGTTTAGTGGTGTGGAAAGCCTAGCATTGAAATAGAGCAGGGCTGTTGGGAAGAGTAAAAGGGCTAACTCATCAACCACCTAGACTTTGACCTAGCAGTCTCACCTTGAGGAGGTATCTGAAGAAATAGTCTCCACTTGGGCCCTCAAATGATGCACACTTTCTAGCACTGCTCGTCAGAACAGTATTTCAGAAGTAGCCTAGGTGCACCAAGTTGCTTGCGCAAACCCGGGTACACACATTCAGGAGTACCATTGTAGCTCTTCAATAGAATGAGCGAGATCTATTTTGAGTCATCTCCAAAAGTGTCAATTAAAAACACGAAGCACGTTGTTTAAAATGTTACTTTATAGGGCCAGGGATTTAGCTCAGTGGTTCCGCCGCCTGCCTCGCAAGCGCAAGGACCAGAGTTCCATCCACGGTACCAAAAAAAAATCTTGCTGTATAGGCAAAAATGCGAATACATTTATGAATGCTGATGATGCATTAAGGAAGTGGCGGGCAGGGAAAGAAGACAGGTATTTTTCACTCAAATAGGACAGTATGAGAAAAGGCAAGGTCAGCTGCTCCACGCAATAGGTATTCCAAGTGCAGGGTGGAGTTGAGGCTGGAGGAGGAAAGCATGTCCACTTCTGCAAAGCCTTTAATACCCTGGAAGAGAATCTGGGCTTCACCTTGAGGGCAAAGGGGCAATACGAGTTTGTTTGTTTTGTTGGGGGGGGGTACCGGGGATCAAACTTGGGACCTTGTGCTTTCGAAGCAGGCAGCGGAACCGCTGAGCTAAATCCTCGGCCCTAATACGAGTTTTTAATTGGGAATGGGACAAGTTTAGGCTTGAAGCTAAGAATGATTGGCCTAGCAAATGACTTAGGTCTCAGACCTGAGGCAGTGGGGATAGAAGGGACAGTAGGGAAGAATAGGGACCAGACTGAAAAAAATGTGGAGATCACACTAGCAATGTTGGAGGGGCTATTCTGCTGGGGGAAGGAGAGTTTGTTTTTTACAGGGCTACTGCCTGGCGCACTCTAATTTCTATTGCAAGGGACTGGGCAAAGAGGTTTGAAGAGGAGCACCTTGTTGTAGGGCAAGAATCAGGAACCTAAGCCCTACAATCAGGGCCCTGAAGACAGTTTTTTTGAGTTTCATTTGAACGTGTGCTCTTTCTAGAAATCTCCTAGAAAGGCCACTTACCTGGAGTGGGTGTTAAAGAACAGGTCTTTAGCTCTGTAGGGTTTGTGTAGCAGTTAAACTAAATATACCCTATGACCAAGAAAAATGAAAATAAATGCACACAAATGATGTGCAAGAATATTCGTAGCAGCTTTATTCATAACAGTTCCAAACTGGGGGGAAAAAAACTTATCAAACAAGTAAACAGGGCCGGGGATTTAGTTCAGTGGCGCCATGCCTGCCTTGCAACTTGCAAGGTCCTGAGTTCGATGGGGGGGGGGAGGGGGCAAATAAACAGACAAATTGTGGTATACTCATTGAATGGAATGTCAGTCAGCTTTTTTTTTTTTTAATCAGCTTTTAAAAAGGGATAAATTACTGACACATAACAAAATGGATGAATTCCAACAGTATGCTCTCAAAAGTTATCTTATAAGAGTACATATGATCCCATTTATATGCAATTTTAGAGCAAGAAAAACTATTCTATGGTAGGAAAAAATCAGAGCATAGTCACTGATATGTAATGATGGGAATAAGGAGTAAAAAGGTACAAGGAGGGCCAGGGATTTAGCTCAGTGGTTCTGCTGCCTGCCTCGCAAGCAAAGGTCCCGAATTTGATCCCTGGTACCAAAAAAAAAAAAAGGTATAAGGAATCCTTCACAGACTGACGGTAAGTCTGTATCTTCATGAAATGTGTGTTACACAAGCATTTGCATTTGTTAACACCTATTGAATGGTACACCTAAAATTTGGGCATTTTATTTAATTAAATTTTACTTCAAACAAGAACTTTAAGTAAATATTAAACTTTAGGTAATGATATGTATGCTGAAATATTTTAAGAGTAAAACATACTCCTGCATATTTTATGGTAAAATACATCAAAATAAATAAAGATGGAGGCCCAGGAATATAGCTAACACTTGCTTAAAGTGTGAGGCCCTTAGTTCCACCACCAGTGCCACAAAAACAAAACAAAACAACAAAAATGATGGACTGATAGATGGCTAGAGGGATGGCTGGCTACCTAGGTAGGTAAGTGATAAAATAATTATATATGTATAATGTCAATGGTACAATCAGCACATAGGAACTCACTATAAATTTCAATTATTTTTATGTTGAAAGTTTTCATAAACTATAGGAGTCAAAACCTACTTGTTTAAGCCACTGTTCATTTGGTTTTGGATATTACTGTCAAACATTTTACAATGGTAGTAAAACAAAAGTTTTGTACTAAAAAATTAGCTTTTACACTTATTCATTTATTAAACAAATACTTATTGGGTACACAATATGTGTCCTTGCATTCTTGATGAAGATATGATCTTGTGAACAAAATAAACTGCCTGCTATTGTGAATATTATAATCTAGTGGAGAAGATGACACACAGACATCACACAGACACATCATTACTGTGATTAGAAATGTAAAAGAACCACATTTCTGGCACTGCATGCCTGAATCCTAGCATCCTGGGAGACTGAGGTAGGAAGTTCACACGTTTGAGCCCAGCGTGGGCAACTTAATGACTTAGCGAGACCCTATATCAAAAAATAAAAAGGGACAGTTCAGTTCAAAGTCCCTGGCTTCAATTCCCAGTACCAAAAATTAATTAATTAAAATATTAAAAATAAATGAAAGAATCATTTCAGGGCTCTAGGTAGGAGGGCCTGACCAGTGATGGGGAAAGGAATTAGGGAAGACTTCCTAGAGGTAATTTGCATGGTGGAAAGTTAATGAGGTAAGGGAGGCTAGCAAATATTCAGAGAACAGAAAGGACATGAAAGAGACTGGCTGCATCACCAACTGAGAGAGGAAGAGGGACTCCTCCTACACACTGAAGGCAGGTGCTGGAAGAGTCCACTTTTCCCTGCTTTTGATGCTATTTATAACTGAGACGAGATCTCTCGTGTGTGCTGCTAAAGTGGCCATAGGTGTTCTAGGCTCACACTATCACACTATGCAATTAGAGTAGGCATAAGCTTTAATAACAGGTATTAAGTACTTGATGGAATAAAATGGCAATACCACTTTTTAATCTTTTGCAATTAAGACTCAAACTACCTCAGGGAGACTGGGAGAAATAAGATGTAACAGCCCTCATCTTCACTCCTTTCATATTTTGACATTCAAAATGAATTTCATACCAAGCAGCCTTTTAAAAGCTTTTCTTTCTGTTCTGGGGGGTTGGTAAGGGGAGAGTAAGAACACTGTGATACTTTGCAAGTCTAAATATGTGTAAAATTTTTCCTTTTTCTTAGAAATCCAACATAATTCCTAAATTAAAAAGCTATAAAATTTAAAGCTATTTCAGATAGAGCTGTATCCATGCACACACAAAAACCACAGGGCCTGTTTCTGTACCTACAGTTTGCATCCCTTGTGGGAGATGGCAGGGAAGATCACTAGGATAGCACAGTACCAATATCACTCCTTTCCTGTCCAAACATGTTTTACTGTTCCTGTTTGGTCCAGACCCTCTATGGGCTGGGCCACTCATCCTCCTTAAAAGGTCTAAGGAGGGGCCGGGGATTTAGCTCAGTGGTTCCGGCGCCTGCCTCATAAGCACAGGGACTGGAGTTTGATCCCCGGTACCAAAAACAAAGGTCTAAGGAAAAGAGATAGATGACTGTTGGGAGCAATGCTACATAATTTTAGACCTAGTTCTCCTGCCTACAGGCCAGCTATGGCATTTTGAGACATAATTCTATTTTGGTCCCCAGCCCCAATGAGACCTCAATGATCTGGTGATGCTGTGATTCTTCAGGACAAGATTACACCAGCTGAAGACATCCTGGGAGGAACAAAATCTTCATCTACTCAGTTCCTCATTGTTCTTGGAAAATAACACTTTGTTTATCCCCATGTACTGAACTCTCTGCAAGTCATTTGTTTCTCCCAGTGTACTGAATAAAAGGTGCGGTAAGCTGGGGGCTTTTGTCTTTGCTGCCCAGAGCAGCACTGATCAGACCCAAAACTCAGTTGCTTCTCAAAGTCTCATTTTTCTGCCTTTCCTGTATAATAAGTTAATTCACCTTGTGCTGCCATGGCTCACAGGAGACTAGGACTTACTGCAGAGGTTCTAGTAACATCCCCTTTCCCTGTTCCCTACAGATGACCATAAAACAACTACTATTTACTCTTGAGAGACTAATTATATAACAACATGTTCTGGGCTTTTTTTGTGGGGTTTTTTTGGTACTGGGGATCAAACTCAAGACCTTGCACTTGAGAGGCAGGTGGAGTGCCGCTGAGCTAAATCCCCAGCCCAACATCATGTTCTTTTATATTGGCCAAACCCTTGTGATCTGTCACCATCGAGCTTCACTCTTATGTTGTATTTGAATAAAGACCTTCATACACTACTGGTCTCAACCCTATTACCCCATCAATCAGAGCTAAATCAGAAACTTCACT